AGTATCTGACCTCAAAGTCAGTTCAGGATGCTTGAGTCTAACGCCAGTACTTATTTACTTCAAAGAAGTCTGTTTTCATAGAACAAACTCCCAACTCCTTCATAACTATTTTTAAAGTTATCATCAGTGTGGAAAGGAAGCAGTAACACACAATTTTGTGATATGCACAAAATAAGGAAGAAATTTAAAGTTGTGTGTCCTGCAAGAGGAGCTAAAAATCAGCTTTCCTAAATTACTAAATTTTTTTAATAAAAAGTTCTCATGACCTCTAGAAAAATACAGTTTTGAAAAAAATTCTCTATAAGAACTTAATAAGGAGTATAGGATGAACAAATTTCAGTTTTATCCTACTCCTTCTAGCTTCAGAAAATATTATAAACTCTAAGAAATATTAAAAGTGTATGCTAACACTGTTTAAATGCCTATTTATAATTTCTGACTGATCTCAAAATAGACTCTTCTAAGACACAAGTATTAAGTAGACAGTATCTTAAGCAGCAGAGAAATATGAAAGTTACACAAAGCAAGAAGAGAACTGTGATTTTTTAAAAATTACCAAATAAAAAGAACTTATACCAATTATGCTTCTTTTGTTTGTATCACTGCAGTTCCTATTGTGCCTAAGTGACCTCACTGCTCTGCATAAAACAGAGCAACAGTACCTGCCATTAACCAAGATAAAAGATTGACAGAAGTAGTAATAGAACAGAAATTACTCAAATGATGTGATGGTCCAAGTGTTGTATTAATTACAGGAAAATATCAACATTTTAGCTAGATTTCATTGATGATTATATGCTAGGCCATTGTTACCTATCATTCAGCCTCAATGCTGATAAATTTTGTTTCACTGTCTTTACCTGCCCAACAGTTATTGCATGTAGCTGTTCTGTCCTCCGATTCTTAGGCCTTATGCATTTTTGGGACTGGGAATATTACTTTGTTTTGAGCTTCTAGAGAGCCTAGTATAACAAAGTCCTGAAATATAACCAATTATCCAAAGAGATAAGTTAAATGTTTGGAAAACTGAATGTTAAACAGCTTTAATATGTCATCCATAAAAAAAAGAAATACACATGTTACGGAGAGGGTTACAGCAGAAAAAAGCAGCACTGTGATTTTATATTGTGAATCTGTACATAAGCTCCTACACAGTGCGCAGGTAGTTGAGTTATCTGCAAGTAAGTTGCCTTGAATACTGGAAGGAGTAAAGTTGTAGTAGTAGCTCAGATTCAAAAACATTACTTTTACCCATATGGCTATATGCCAGCTGTTTTCATTTGCATACAAGATTATCTCTACACAGTGTTACATTCTCCAGTTACTAATCTAGGTATTTAACTTTACATATTCAAAGCCACAAATAGAAGTTCCAAAAGGGCAATAGTACCTTTATAGAAAGGCATTCAAGATGCTCTTCAAGATTTCAATAGATCACTATTTTAATTTATACCAATAACTATCTGAAGAAGGCACCCACTCCATCCCTGGTCTTTTTCAAGTAAAGGATTCCGTAACCAACATAAAAGCTCTTTAGTTATTACAGAGCTAAGACAGGATTAATCAAATGCATAGTTCCTCTAAACTGCTTCTCACAGATACTGTAGGAAACTACAATTTAAGATTTCTACTAGCCCAGAAGCAGAAGTATGTTCACTTTAATTCACACTTCATGCTTGTGCTTCCAAGAAATAACTGTAAGGTCCTTACCCTAAATGTACACATCACATCAATAATCTGTAACACTGTGATAAAGGGATGGACATCTATACACTCATGCATTATTAGCTAGAAACTTGGAATAAATAGATTTCCAGGAGGAAAACTGATTTTTTTCCTTCGTTCTCCAATAAACAACTGAAAACCTTGAAAGAATTACTTGAAATAATGCAAACCTTTTGAAGTTTCCAAAATGACCTATAACAGTTTTAAATATAATCTAAGCTTTTTTTTTATTTTGGAAAAAATGGAGATTGGTTCTAATTATGACCCATAAAGTTTAGCTGTGAAGAAGCAACTTAGTACTAATACAAGCCTAAAAAAATTCTAAAAATTATCTATAGCTAGTTATTAAAAGATCAGCTCCATCTCTGTTGTTTGAAATTTTTGCTATAAACTCTTACCTCTCTGTATTGATCCAAATCTTGTACTTTATTCAAGCTGTCACTGATTGAAATGTCATTCAAGCCACAAAGAACTCTGTTAATGTTTCCATCAACTACTCCTTGTTTCTGCTTTGATCGGATGAGATCTCCCTCCAGCCATAACATTGCTTGCTTCCTTTAGGACACAAACACAAATCAATTCATATCAACAAATTTGCATACACATAAAAAACCAATATGGAAAGCATGCTACTTCTACACATTGCCAACATTCGAATCTTCTGTACATCTTCACTTGAAAAAAAAATTTTTCAATGTCTATCACATATACCAAAAAAAAAAATAATCGTTTTCAATGGTTAAAAACCACAAAACCATCCCAGAATCACCAAACAAGTCTGCAGCCATCACAGAAATATTACAGGTACTAAAAATTTTACAAAATCCTAGTGGGAAAAGAGATTAACTAAACAGGAATTTGCAATGGCATTTTACTGCATTATTCCTCAATAAGGAAGTTTGCTGGGTAGGTACTAGATGGAACTAGGATGACCAAGAACTGAGACCCTATTACATATTGTTCTAACAAATTGAAATTCCTATACTGAACAGAGAAAAAAAGAATGAGAAATTAAATCAGAATATACTTTCACTGGAAACTTTTCTTTGTTTGAAAACAGAATATTAGGGCAAAGCTTAAGACCCAAGTAGTCTGAGCCAACTGCCTAAATTTGCTCAACAATAAATGGGAAAGGTAAGCACTTCCAGAAAAGTCTCACTGCGTCCCAAGAAAACACCAAAAGAAGGGAGAAGGAGGGAGCAGAGGGAGAGGGAGCGCCACTTACTCCACCTAACAGAAGTAGCCTAGAAAACATTATTGAATTTAAGTATCTTTGAAATCTTTCAAGATTAATTGCCTTCACAGTAACAAACTGATCCGATATATACTTGGATGTGAGAATCTCTAAAAAAACCAAACAAAAACAAAAAAACCCCACACACCACCAAAACCTATTCAAACCTCTTATTAAACCTCAAGGAGCCTAAGAGATGAAGCTTTGACATTTATGAGTTCAGAGATCAAGTTGCAAGATCTTACCTTTTTGTTAAATGCAACTTCGCAGCCCCAAGGGCAAAATATTTTATATTGGAATGATGCAACTGATGTTAGCTCCTTCTTTCTCAATCCCATTTTGACACTACTAGTGACACTTCTTGAATTTTGGCTGATTGTCAAAACAGGTATCTATTGCCATAAGGACAACAGAAAATTCTTACTGAAAAATACTACAGCTCTTTGCTAGGAATAATGTAGGAATGTGTGAGTGAAAAAAAAATCTAAAGGCTCTTTGCCTATCTATAAAATCAGACCAAGTATTTATGCGCCACTGCAGAAAAGATGTGGGCCCTGCTTTTCCTGTCTTTCAAGTAAACAGCACTTACTAATCACACTACCTACTACCTTTCTCTCTTAATTTTGCTCTGTTCTGGAAGTTATTTTTAAGAGTGCATCATCCAAGCATCAGCATGGTGTGGAGAAGTTTAATCTACATTCAGTAAGCAATTGTGGTTTGTGAAAGTTTGTGATTCATGGTATTTTGAATAATGGTGGGCCACCCCTCAAAGGAGTGCCCATTCAGTTGCACTGGAAAATAAAAGGAATACTCGTTCATGCTCAGTTTCTCTTATGAATTACAGTAATACTCATTCTTTCTCTCTGATATCCTATGGATTTTAAGATGCAAGGTCAGTGCATGTTTTACTGTATTTACACTGTATCTGGCAAAGCTGTTGCATTCTCTTTTTTCCAAAAAGAGACAAATCTCTGGTGGATTTTCTCAAAATATTTTTTCTGGTAACAGTGAAAATCCCTCCAACTAAATATCATCACAGTATCAACTTAAAAATATCAGGATAACCACTATAATAGTAAATGTACAATATAGAAACCACTATGAAATTAAACTTAATGTCTACATCACTGAAGCCAATGCAATTTTGCCATTCATTTCCAATCAGGACCAAACCTTGAATCACCCATTCAAATTACCTGTACATGAAATGTTCTCAACTGAAAGCATACAGTAAGTTTTGAGAATGAGCTGTATTAAAACCATACATTTGTTTTGCTAATGACTAGTAGCTCCAAATCAAAGTGCTTCATATGTTACATTAGGAATCTGACAGTGATCATAAGCTGTCCACCATGTACTTATTTAATCTTTAGTTACAAGAAAGAAAAAGACATATCAATTATACTATTGTAAGATTCATTTTAAGCTTCATCATAGGTTATAAAGTACATAAAGTCTATCATTTTGATGTTAATATTTTAATAAATCCATACTGTTGATTTAATCTTTTGTCCACATCTAGACTTTACATTTCCAACATACTTGTCTTTAACTCCTAAATCCTGCAGAACACAAACATGCAGAGTCTTGAGACCCTCTGCCCCTTAAGGTGACAAAATGCACAGCACTCCAGAGAAGACGATTGCTACTGAGTAAGTTTGATTTCAATCCTGAATTAACTAACCTTAAATACATTGCAACAGGCAGTAATATACGATGTCAGTAGACAGAAAGTAGATCCTATAAATAGTGCAAGATGGATAAGGATGTAGAGAAGCAGTTGATTCTTAGAAGCAAAGAACGTATACATACTCTTCCAAGAAGTGTTGCTGGGGTCCTATAATAGAGCCTGGTCGACATATTCTTATCCAAGCAATGGCTTCAGCATGTGTGAACTTGTAGTGTTTCATTATGTAACAGGCAATCAGTGTTCCTGTTCTCCCCAGGCCAGCTACAGAAACACAAACATCAACATTCAAATACAAAGTCATGTTTTTCATAATTATCAAATTAAAGTATGGGATATGAGAAGACTTCTCTGCAATGTTATTCACCACCTTAATATCTGAAGAAAGAATTTCTGATTCAGTATCCCTTTATCACACAATTGGATTTCAATGCTGTAGATATAAGAACAAATACATCATACTTATAAAAAGTTAGCAGCATTTAAGAATGCATGCAATAGTGACCACTCTTAGCACTTGTACAATTCTACTTGAAACTTTTTTTCTTTAAAAAAGCCGGTATTTTAAAAAAGCCATGACCAAGCTGGATAGAAACTTCATATTTATAAAACCACTAAAACCCAAAATCTAAGTACCTTTGAGAGGCCAACACACATACTTTACAAGTCAAGGTTCAAATACATGCAAATACATGTGCACATCACAACAGATGGCAGCATGTGTCTTCTCAGACAGTGGCTTTTTCTTTTTGAATCAGTTTTGTTGTAAAAACAACCTATAAAACTATTCACTGCTATCTGTATAAACAGCAGTGAATGCTGACCAACATATAATTTTATATATTGATAGCTTAAAATAATTTAACTCGTTGCCCCCCAAATCACAAACTAATCCTGTTTTTAAGGAGAGAATAAAGAGACAGAAAAATTAGCTTTTACTATCAGACAAATCTCTGTCTGATAGTATAACAACTATAGAGTAACTATAGATAACTATAGAGCATATAGTATATATACTATATAGTTATATAAGTATATAGTAGAGAGAGAGAGTATATAGTAACTATAGATAACTATAGAGTAAAAATTAATCTCTTTCTAGCCCTGTGTCTTATCTACTAGTAAAGTGTCTCCCCATTTAAACCTTCTTTTCCTACAAATACAATATTTGCAATTTATGGTCTCATGGTGGCCAGCTCTTGTTTATGCACCAACAACTATCTAAATGGAAACTCTCTAAGCAGTCAGACACCCTGGCTGACAATTCTACACACAACTACAAGCTTTTTACATTTAACCAATAACTAAATCTTGCTGTGACTTTTTGGAGTTGATTGAGGTAAAAGGACAAAGGTAAAAGCTCACAAATCTTGAGATTCCGTAACTGTGGCAGACTAGCTCTGAAGAATCATTTAAAAAGAGGAAGTATTGTTAGAGAGAGAATTTTGGGCTTGGGTGCTTGGTTTTGGTTTTTTTTTTCTAAATGCAAAAGGAAAGTAACATGCAAATAGATAAGCAAGAGCTGTACTATACTAAACATACATCTGAATAAGAAAATGGTCTCTGAAAATTGCAGGTAACATCTACCAGCTGCATATATCACTAAGACTTCTTCTCTAAGTTCCTGATAATGTACAAACTTTCCATAGCAACCCTTTGCATTAAACCATTCTATTAATTCTGGGACAAGCAATTTCTAGCGTGGAAGCTTGTGCTTCTGCAGTAAGAGTACAAGAAAACTACAGACAATACATTAACCCTGAGTTAATTGTTGATTTAATTTTGTATAGGCTTATTTAGAAGAGTGTAAAAAACCTAAAAAGAATGAGGCTGTTGGTTTGCTTATTAAATGGTCAGATGAAAGAACAAGAATAGTTCAGTTTAGCAAGCACATATCTAAGTCACTAGAAAAGTATATTGTATTCCTTTAGCAATTAAGCCTGGAGAATAACAATCTACTCCTGCTAATCAACAGTTTATACTCTCATTTAGTCAATAAGCAGATGTCCAGCTTATTAATGCCAGAATTTCTGGGTTCTAACCACAGTAACAACTAGTTAGCAAATAAACTTATCTATCTTTGATATGCATGTTTATTGTTCATGGAAAAATTATGAATAGCACTATTCTTGCTTCAGATCAGCAAGACATTTGTCTCCACAATGTCCTTACTCAAGTCTAAACATAAATCAAGCTGAACCCTTCAAAGCCTTTGTTAATCGTTCTTGACTAAGCATGTTTTGTGTACTTTCTGGCTGATTTGCTGAAATAGGCTGGTCTGAAATGCTGGCATCACAATAACTCACATTAACTTGAAATGTGGAAGTCATGCTCCACAGAAAAATGTAGAACAGTCCAAAAGCACAAAGAAAACCTTTCAGTCTTTTGCATTTCCGAGCCAATTATCATAATACTGTGAAAGCATAATGCAAAAGAGAAATTTCCATCAACCAAAACTCATGTCGTCAAGTGATATTAAGAAAAAACAGAACAATGCACAACAGATTGTCAGTTACTGTAAGCAGCAGTGTAGGATGAAAGAACTTAATACGTACATGAAAATAACAAATACTTTTCATATATTTAGTCAAGTATCATAAAGCAGTATTACTTTGACAACCAGAAAGTGTTATTTAAATGCTTTATTTCTGGAATTAACTCTTTGGATTTATACTTATTTTGAACTTCAATCTGAGAAATAAGTAAGCGCACACACCTTTACAATGTACAGCAATAGCACCGTCAGCATTTTCACAGATGTTCAGGAACCTCTGAACTATACTGTCGCTTGGTGTGCTTCCATCTATGAAAAACAGGTCATAATGCTCAAAACCAGCATCAGTAAAGCGTTTTGCCTCATAAATTTTTTTGTTTAGTCTTATGATTGATGTGACATTGTGTTTCTTGAAATAGGGAAAGTAGGCTTCAGGCGCATGAAGAGGATAACCTATTAAAAAAAAATAAAGCAACCATCATTTAATGTCACAGATAAAGTTCAAAGTCCTACTAATCACAATTGTTCCCAAAACCTTTTTTGAATGATAAACATGCTAATGCTGAAAATGCTTTAATATTTTATTCAGAATACACATTAAGTGATATAAAAAGTTTTCCACAAAAAGCTCACAAAGACCACTTCATACAATTAAAAAAAGATCAGAAAAACAAATTAAAGCACAGTATACTTGAAACACTGCACTGTCTCCTGTTTAGCCCATTTCCGTCTACAAGCAGGGTTTTATACATAAAACTAGGCACATATATGAATTCAGTATTTCAGAACAGCTGTTCATCTATAGTCAAGCTGCAGATCAAAGAGTAAGAACATGCTTTAGGATGAAACACTGTGCTTACAAGGAAAATAGATTGGCAATCTATACTGTGAACAAGAGGAACAGCCAAAGGATATACTGCAGTACCAGAAATATTTGTGCTCCACCGTGAAGTAAAAAAGCTTTAGTACCTTGATTCAGTTGAGATAAAAGGATCCTCTAGATGAAGATGGTGGGGTGGGAAGGGAGGTCAAAGACCAACCACACCACAACCGTTTAGGACACTTTCATCAAATCTATGTTATCTGTTGACAAGGGTGTGAGGGAGTGGGTGCACAAGCACGCATGTCTATAGGATGTTTGTATGTAAAGTGTAGTTTATTCTTTTCCATTAACAATTAAGTCTTATAAACAAGACACAGGAACAACATAGCTACCACAAAAATCAGAAGGTCTATCATTGACCAAAATCACTGGTTTATCTCCAGAATTTTTATTCCTGTTCAAATAAAGTCCAAAAGCTTCCTCACAAAACATAAGTCCTTTCCACAAGTCATATATGCATTGGTAAATGCAATTAGAGTCACAACATAATGAGAAAAACATCGCTTTGTAATGTGTACTTACACTCACCTAGGTGAGGCTTTTATGTAGCCTCGTAACTGGATTTTAAGCATCAATTTAGTAATTTTCAGTTATATATGTGTTAAAAACAAAACACAGGTTTTCCAAATTCCATGGAATAATTTAAGTAATTTTTGAATATTACTTACTGCAAGAAAAGACTGTAACAGTGATTGGGGAAGAAACCAACCTAAATATTTTCTCCCTGGATTTTGTTTAAATCTTCAGTGGAAACTATGTAATTAGCAGCATTCCAGTCATAAAGGAAACATGAGAGAGCAGAAGTGAAAGACCAAAGAGGTAGCTATTCAGAAAACATGCTCACATGAACAAAGTGAAATAGCACAAAGAATAAGGTGAAATTCAGCAAAAATCTGATTGTAGTTTTTAAGCGACTAGGTGGAGCAAATGTCTACTCTCCCTCGGTCGGTGAAGTTTCTCTTTTTTATGCCATTAGAATCACATAGGTTCTTCCCATTATCCCTAGAATCTTCAGTAGTAAAGACAAACTGCTTTTTAAAGTCTGTCCTGGCCTTTGTTACAAACCTCTTAATTCAGTCTCCTTCGCCTTATGCAACTTGCCTTTAATTCTGCATACTTATCATATCAGGTGTCAGGTTCCAGGAGAAAAGTAAGGGACCTGAATTTCTCAGGCACTTTGTCACTGAATGAAACTCATTGACTTTAAGAAGAACTGGAATTCTTCTAGCAAAGAAGAATTCCAAAACCTTTGGAATTACGTTCTATGACTGTATATAAAGTGTTCACTGTATGATTATTTCTGAAAATTAAGGTTAATCTATAAACCTCTATTATCTTCTGCTCATTTGCTGTGACTGTTTAACATGCTGTAAAAAATAAGATCATAGAATAACATTAAAATATACACCATACCATTTTCAAGTTTGCTTTTTGGGTGTGGTCCACTAAATGCCAAAAATTTTCCTGGAACAATCCAGTTGAAGTCACCGTTTTCCACTCGCTACAAGAATTTCAGAAGAGAAAGAGAAAAGCATTTTAATACCTGTACCTACAAGGTTAAAAAAATTACTCAAGATTTTATTTTACTTTTTACTATGTTCTTGCTGCATTAAAACAAAACACTTCAGACATAATTAGGTAGCTTAGCTATATGGGACAAACTAACTAACAATAAGCTGCTTCTCAGAAATCTCTTAAAATGAAATGAAAAAAATTTTGCTGAAGTTTTCCAATAAAAGCCGAAAGATCCTGTATCTAAGATATTCCTCCCTTAAAGGGTTCAGTGTTTTAAGACACCTACTTCTAATGACACTGACAAACATCAACATTCTTCTATGTTTTAATCAAAGAATACGGAAAAATGCTTCCCTGTAAGACACTGGCTAAAAAAACCAATTCACAGACAACAAATTCAAAACCAATTAGCCTTCAAAAACAATTATCCTTTCCTTGTAGAAACTAAAATTTACAAATTGGCACAAGCTCTGATGAGCCAGTAATCACAGAAGCAAAGTACAAATCAAATAAAAAGACTAAATTAAAAAAACTTTCAAATTGTGACATTTTACACTTCTTGCTCACTTTTAAATAAAAACTTCAAAAAGGTTCTGCAATTTCTGTCAGTGCCAGGACTAGACGCTTCTTTGGAAAGTTCAAAACTGCCTTTTTTTTTTTTTTTTTTTAAATTGAAGAGTGCTCCTTCCTCATTTGGCAATGCAGTTATTCTCAGCGTGACTTTTAAGGACATGGCACTCAGTTCAACTGCATTATTAAGCTTGTGTTTTTAGCTCTCAGCTCATCAAAACATCGTAATAAGTGAAAGGTTCTGATAATGGACATTACTGTAATCAATTCACCAACTGTTTGCTTAGCTAAGCCCATTAGGTTTGCTCCAAATGTCCTCACACAGTGAAAACTCCTGTAAGCTAACAAGGTTGCATAAGGACCAGTGAACCGGTCTTACTGCTAAGTCAGGACCCCTCACCCCCCCAGATCTGTATCACAGACTGGAATCTCAACATTGTAGCACCTCTACCTGCTTTAAGAAAGAAGTCCTGTTAGAAAAGTTAAAAAGTATTTTTATATTTGTATTACCAGTTTTATTTGTGAATTAAGTAGTACTTTATAGTAACATGGGTTATTGTGAATAATTTAAATTTTAACCAGTCTGAACTACAGATATATATGCATATGTGTGTATATATACACTCAACATTACATGCAAACAACATTATTATTAAAAAAGATAACTTGAATATTTTACATCTAGTTGAACAAAAGGGGAATTAGCTGCCTTAGTGTAGTAAGATGAAAGAACTATAAACGTGAAATAGAATTTCCTTTAGCCTGCTCCCTTTAAGTCTTATGCAACTTTTCTCCACATAACTACACATTTGAAGACCTAACATAGTAAAAACCTGGAACATTTAAAGTTTTACAAATATAGCACAGGACATATCCAAACATACAAAGCTGACCATGATGTGTAAAGTAAAGTAATAGAAGACATACCAAGAAATGGACAAAAAGTTAAAGATGATTCCAAGTTCTTGCGTCTTAGACAGTGGGCAGCATACTTTAAACATCATTCACACATGCATACTTTTCACAAACTAAAATAACGTTAAGCATTAAACAAGATAATGGGATAGCTTTAGACAATTATTTTAATACTTTTTTCAGTCAGATTAATGCTTACTACATATACAGAATCCTAAAAATTCCCAACCATCATTTGTTTTTAGAACAAACATTTTCCTTTTCTTCACACAGTAAGCAAAAAAGCAACAATTTCATACTTTAAATTTGTTACTGTTCTTTTAGTTTCAGTAATTCAGCAAAGGTTATACCAATTTCTTGATTTAATTGCTATGGAACATTGTATTATATAGAAATTCTACAAATTCTCTTAAGTATGGGAATAGCTATATGTTATAGTGTGCCTATTGCAGCCAACATCTACTGTATAGATTTGTGTTGTAAATTAAATTTTTCCACTGTTTATTCCTCTCCTGACTTCCCCCTCTTTCTTGAACATTTATGAAGTATTTCCTATAGCTGTATGTATTTCAGATATGTAGAATCACCCATAACTTTTTGCTTGTGTCAAATGTAACAGAGATTTAAGAAGAACAATTATCCCTAAAACTTGTTCGATATTAGAAATATTCAACTTAAGATAATAAATTTTTAAATGGACGTTTTCAGACTAAGCAAATTTATTCTCATTATCTCCAAGTTTTCTGAAAATTGTAATAGGGGGCTGGGGGGAAGAATGCTGGTTACAATAAAATAACACAACTCTGAAAAGAGTTTAATACATATATTCAAATGTTTAGTACACCTCCAGTTTATCTATCTTTTTCCCTAATCAACGTAACTGCAGGAACTTCAGGGAGTTCCAAAGACAAGGTCCAACACAACCACATGGTTGCCACTGACTTCAGCAAAAACCCTTTCCCTTCCTTTGAGTGTGGGAAGTGGTAGATGATCATGCAACTCTTCTGGACCAGATGTATATACATTTTCTGTGCCTGTGATTTCCTCTGTACATGGCCCAGTTCACAGGTGCAGCACAGGCGTATTTTAAAGGTTCTCTGCAGCAATATAGCTTGAAATAACTATCTGCTACTAGCAGATAAAGGTCTGTATGTTACAGAACAAAGTCCTAGAAGCATCTAGAGTCATCCAGACTATCTATTCTGAAGTTGCAAGAAGGATGGCAGAGCAATGAATGATATCTGTTAGCTTTCTGGGACTTCATTAGGGAAATATTTTAGATATATTTTCATTACTGGAATCCTCATATAATACATCCTTACTAAAAACGCTCAAAATGTGCTTAATCTATACGGCTATAAAAACTTTATCATATATTTGGGACTAAAAGCATCTCAAGAAGCAACTCAACAAGTGTTGAAAGAAAACACAGATTCCATGGGTCAACCAAGAGACCTTGGATGATATCCTGGGGGAAGGTTGGGAAGCCAGAAAGGCTACGAGAAAACAGTAGACTTACTATGTGATGCACTGAAATTGCAAGGATATTCATCCTGCATGTTTTTCACATACAGCATACAGGTTTGGATGTACATACCTTACATATGAACACTGGGTTTTATTTGAATTAAAATGTGTTTCAAGTTGTGGAATACTACATATTCTAACTTATTTTAGGTAAACCAAACACATTCAACTCATTAAGTGTACAAACCTCATAGTGTTCATATTCATCCACATCAAATGTCTTAAAGTCAAAAAATCCATGCTGCAAGGCCTAAAAGGCAACAAGGTATCAGTTTATACTGAAATATGATATGTAATCTCATTTTATTGTACTGTTTTTGAGAATCAAAACTTAAAAAAATTCACTAAATGTTTCTGCTTTTGGCTTATTGAAGCCCTTATGTTAAAAAAACATTACATTTTGCACAGATTAACAACACAGACAACAAAAACTCAAACAGTGTCACTAAACATATCAGGCTCATTATTTGCCCTTCAAAGACATTACAATGGGACATAAAAGTTGTTGCATATCACTTAAATCACAAAATTGATTCTCCCCACCCCACTATATATTTTTTCTGTAAGGCAGATGACAAATTAAAAAGCAATTCCCTTTTTGTCATATAATCATTCAATGATTTCTATGCTGGATGTATTTTCATGCAGTTGGACATAAAAACCAGAACATTAAGAGTTTGAGTTTTCTATACTTCATATGATACTCTGATTTTATCACCATAATACCCAGGCAAAATGGCATATACAGAATAATCTGTATTTTAGGATTTGCTTTTAATACACATTCCACTGATAGAATGAATTAGACAGTATTTATTACAGGATTGAAAAAAGTCAGGTTTTGTATTTGATTACTGTACTATTACTAAATATACCAATTTCCTACTAAAGATTTGTGCATAAGACCACGTTAAAAACAATTCCATGAATAAGGAATTCATAGCCCGAATTTTTTCCAAGGAATAGGTGAAAGACAGCTCTGCAACATATATTTTTACTAAATCTGGTACATTCTGAGAAGTATAGATATTACACAACATTCTGAGATTAAGGTGAGATAAAAACACACCACAGATCTACGATTCAAAAACCAGTAATTATCAGTCTGCCATTAATGCTACATATAGAGTACCTTTTTTTAAGACAAAACAAAAATAGCTTTGTTATAGACAACATAGGCTCAATGAGTGGACCTGTCATGAAACCTAAGATACCAGGAGGTTTGTCTGAACAGCTGATCTTGAAAAATGTATTTCATTTACACATGGTTAACTAGCTGCACTCCAGAATTTGAAGGCCCCCTGAATTACACGTATATATGTGCACGCAAACACTAGACTCACTCAGGTAGACTAAGATTTTACTTTAGATTAAGGCATATGGTTTCTGCTCAAAATGTTTTTACCTCTGTGGGTGAACTGGACAAAAATTCAGTAATAACTTTTATGGGAACAAAGGAGGGAAAAAGTTATTCTCAAAGGCCTTTTGACGTGTTTGTTGCAGATAAATTACAGTGACTGCATTGACTGCTTCAGAGCTTCAGGATCCGTAGAATGCCACACAAATTAGAGTCTTGCTGTTAACTGACAGCTCCTTTCACACCCCCACAGAACTAAAAATATTAAGCTTGATCTCTCTCTTCATTTTTTAAGAAACGCTTGTTTTGCCATACTTTCAAGAATTAGAAATAGTCTAAAAAGTGTCTGTACAGAGCTGTTCATACAGCCTGCTCCCTTCATCAAGATCACTAGGAAATAATGAAAAAAATTCAATGTTTGCTTATAGTATGAAGTATATACTATAACACAAGGTTGCCAGTTAAGATGTGACATAACATTTTTTAAAAAGCAATATTGGAGCTTAATATTCCCTAGAACCAGGACTGTTGAAAGTGACACATCAAAACACTAGTAAGATACAATTAGTTTTCATTCTTTTTAAACAATTCATACAATCATACAATCGTTTGGTTGGAAAGGACCTTGAGGATCCTCTAGTTCCAACCTCCCTGCCATGGGCAGGGACACCTTCCACCACACCAGGTTGCTCAAAGCCCCATCCAGCCTGGCCTTGAACACTTCCAGGGAGGGGGCATCCACAGTTTCTCTGGGCAAATTGTGCCACTGCCTCACCGCCCTCACCGTGAAGAATTTCTTCCTAATATCTAATGTAAATCTTCCCTTTTTCAGTTTAAAGCCATTGCCCCTTGCCCTATCACTCCATGTCCTTGTAAAAAGTCCCTCCCCAGCTTTCTTGTAGGCCCCTTTCAGGTACTGGAAGGCTGCTCTAAGGTCTCCCTGGAGCCTTCTCTTCTCCAGGCTGAACAACCCCAACTCTCTCAGCCTGTCTTTATAGGAGAGGTGCTCCAGCCCTCTGATCTTCGTAGCCTCCTCTGGACTTGCTCCAACAGGTCCACGTCTCTCCTGTGTTGGGGGTCCCAGAGCTGAAGGCAGTACTGCAGGGGAGGTCTCACCAGAGCAGAATAGAGGGGCAGAATCCCCTCCCTCGACCTGCTGGTCACACTGCTTTGGATGCAGACCAGGGTATGCTGGCCTTCTGGGCTGCGAGCACACTTTGCCACTACTTCTGAAAAGATTAGTGTGAAACACTGAACCAAGTTTTTTGAGGCAAAGTTGGGGCCAAGAACATGCAAAAAATACTCAGATTAAGTCACAGCATACCTAGGTGTCTGTCTCGTTTGACTTTAATCGACCTATGTTATGCCCTTTTACCAATGGTTATAAATTATCTATTGGCAGATCTAATGCGCTGCCTTGCACTGTTAAGAACTGTCCCCAGCCAGGCCTGGTGCGTTTGCACATTCTGATTCATAAGGTGAAGCTCAGAAAGCTGTCAAAGGTCAGGCCAGCCAGGTAAGAGTGTAACCTTCTTCCATTGTCACTGCTCAAACAGTCCTCAGTAATTTAGGCTTCATGACAGCATACTACTCATTCACATACATTTTGCTATGAAACCAGGTTTTCTAGTATATTTTAACAGTATTTTCCTTCACGTTTTGAAAGTCAATTTAAATCTGTTTTGCTAAGGAAAAGTGTTATTACCTTATTTACTCCCTGTAAACAGTCCAAGATCGTAAGATTGTATGTGCAGTTCCCAAATGAAGCATCCCTATAGATTTAATATAAATGAATTTAATATACACAGAATTATTTTAAGAACTCAGGGAAAGGCAGCGCACAACAGAATATATTCAAGTTACTCAATCCCCTCTGAGAACTCTGAATTAAAGTTCAAAGAAGACATCTTTTTAGAAGCTTACTCATGCTAAAGCACTCGCCTACCAAAGGTGTAGCTCAGTGTAAACGCGGTTAGCTACTGCAAATTATTTTAAGTGCATATTTTACATCAGCTAACTACATGCCCTTTACCAGATTATTTATGGTCTCCTGGAACAGGAAGCTTTGCATCCTCTCTCAATTGTGTAAGGACAGTAGCAAATAAAGCAGAACTTGCTTTAACCATTATTCAAGTCTTAATTGAGTTACGCTGTCTAACAGGGAAAGGCAAATGGACTACTAGTTTGGATTTCATTTACAGGCTCTCATTTTGATGCTTGATTACAGATGTGATTAAAAGTTATCCAGATATAATTACTTAACCTCGTTTCTGCCACTATGAAAATAACAATTTCTCTTTAAAAAAATGACAGAATACCTAAAAGCAAAACATACTCAAGTGGTAAGAGACACCAACATTATAACAAATAACACCACCAAAAATTAAAGAGCAACAAATACACTCCAAAAAAAAAGAAAAAGTACTTTTCAAAGCATGCTTCCAACCAGTTTGCATTTTAACAAAATTTTGCCTGGGTAGATTATTTCCTCATCACTTAAGGAAATCTTTAGTAGTTTTACTCTAAGCTATCTTACCCAGAGTGCCAAGAATTGCAATTTATCAGAATAGCAGAATTTTAGGTTTCAACCAGATACACCTTTAATCTATAATTGATTCAAAATTTCAATCTTTCATTGAAAACTTTCCTTTTTGATAGTCTACTTGCTATAAGTAGTATGAAATTTGTTATCTTGATATACTCCTTCAATCCCATGTACTTTAAGAGTAGAATATTCTCACTCATTCTTTAAGAGCAGAGTTAAGTATAGCAGCTTAAGCAAGCAGTGTTCATAGAAAATGTAAAAAGCTACTATTTTGGTAGTGTCATATTACAAGCAGGCTACTCTAGAAAAGCTTTCAAGTTAATAGATTATTAAAAAATACTCAGCCACAGTGTTTTAGAATGGGAACTTTAAAGTGCAAATAAACCTTCAATATCCACATTGAAAGATTTTAAAAATTAACAAAGTATTCTCACGACATTAGATAAGCAGAACACACCAAAGCTGCAAAATGTAAACTTTACAGATAATGCATTTCTGACAGGGGCAAGTTGGATAACAGATCACTTTAGCACAAAAGCATTTTAGTAAACAAAAAGGTCTTCTGAGAAAAAAAATCTTAAGGCCCCAATGGGAACACGTACATAGCAGAAAATCATTAAAAGGTGTAACAGCTTTCTGAAGGGGCTAACAGAAACAACAAAACCTAAAACAATGCAAACCACAAAATTAAGCATTTCGAGAAATATGAATGGAAGATATGATTGTAGCAGACATGTTCTATATTACATGCTATTTTGCGATAACAAGAATATAATTTTTATTTTATCTGTATGTATAGATCTATTTCTTCAACTGATAAGGCATCTGATACTGCAGCATATAAAAACAATACTGGTAAAAAAAGTCACATAATCTCTAATCCATTAATAAGAAGTACTATGAGAGCAAGAGAGAGAAGGAGGGAGGGAGAGAGGACATTGAGCTTGGCCTAAATACACAAGATAAGCCTATCACAATTCCAGGTGTACAGTATCCTTAGCTACAGTTCCCACAGACAGCTATTACCAGTAGACTGCACATGGATGCTGGCAGCTAACGACCTATTGCCTACATCATCCACGCCTCAAACGTCTCGTTTCTGTTACTGTGCACCTAACCATTAAAGTAGGTGTACTCTGACTGGAGAAAACAGCTCTGCTGACACTTGCCATCCACACATAGTGGAGTAATATAAAGACTGAAAGCCAGGAAAATTCCAAATAGGCAAAGTTTTGGAATGAACAAATAAACCGCTGTTTAAGCCTAATCCCAGATTCCCAGAAACTCAAAGAATAGCAATATTCTAACGTTTTGGGGTTTTTTCCAAAGAAACGCAACACACTCAGTTAACATCTGAAAAACTCACACCCCCATCTATCTATTGTGGCAGAATGTGATAACGTAATGAAACCATAAACAAACAGTATATATGAATGACAGTACAGCATGGTAGTAAAGTAACACCTGGAAGCAGTGGCTTAATATTACCTAATACTTCAAGAGAAAGCATGATGTTTGATGCACCATGGCAAATACTGAGCGTATTATATCAGACTTTGCCATAATCTCTCTCGCCTTCTGCCCCTCAAGCATCTTCTGGTAAGAAAACACAAGCAAATCATAAAAGGTCCTCTATCTTAATTTGGAAAACAAGAAAATGGAACAAGATCTATGCACTTAAAGCCACAGCCATTTTATTTTAGCACTCCCAATCCTTCAGAGGGTCAATCCAGGAATATATTTTTTTTTCTTTTCTAGTTTCCAAAAGTACAAGTGGCTGATCAGAATCAATTCCAGATGCAAACACTTTTCTGAAACATTATTGGTTTATGTTCCAGAATTTTAAGCTAAGCTATCTACAGGTATTAAATTTTAGGTGTAAGAACAAAGAAATTCATCTGGCAGAAGTTTTATGTATAATCCATGAGGACTCTGCATGCTGGATCCATTGATATAGTAGAGTGGTATCTGAAATACAGGTAAGGCAAGTGCTTGTGGACTCAGTAGCAGGAGATGAAATCCAAGTTACTAGTTTCAGAACACACAGCAAGCAACAAAATGCACTTCACAGAGCTGTTCTTAATATTAAAACAATCAAAAAGGTAGTTTATTTAGAAAGCTTATTTATGAAGCAAAGTCACAGCATACTTGTAAAGTCACATTTTTCATATTCAATCTTCTTATCAAATAGATGATTTCGTATTATTCCAGAGAAGTGAGTATTCCTTTAGAGTTTAGTCAGAGCATTTTGCAGAAGTATTAAGAGAGGACAGATGCTTAATGCTGATCTTACTGCCAACTGCGTGTCTAGACAGGTCTTGAACTACTCAAAAGGCAAAGATTAAGAGTTTATCGTGACCTAATTTACTGAATGTTTAAAAAAATTACTCAAGTAAAATATCTTTTTGTTTAGGGGGAGTTGTCTAAAGTATTTTAAGTCACTAATTATTTTGATTCTTTTGTTGTTAAAAGCAAAACCAAAGCAAATCTCATCCCCCAGTCACCTAGATGACTTCCTCCAGGCTGAGGCTCAGTTACCAAGTTCTTTTTCTATCCTAGAGAAATCTGTCAGAAGTCATGTTAAATCATTAAGAAGCTTTGTATATATTTAGAAAACAAATTTGATCTTATTTTCTGAATCCTCCTGAATTAATGCATTTACTGGAGAAAACTAAATAATTAAAAACTAATGAAGAGCAGCTAGTTCAATTTCACCATTCTTTGTGTCAACCCATCTTCCTACTGATTTTGTAAGAATTTCCAGACCATGGATAAAAATACTGAATACTGTCAAAACTACTACTAACCTTCACAAAAACCTGTTAGAAATACAGCTATTCTCATACCACATTGACTTGAGAAGTCAATTATATAAAGCTAGATCCACCAGCGTGCATTTTCTTTCTATCAATGATAGATATATTTCAAAACTTTTAGAGCAATAATTAATGTTACTAATTTTAGCTTGCAATAGATTCTGAATGGGCCACACTTTGTACCACAGTAAAACCAAATGCAAGCACTAACAGTTATGAGGAAGAGCACTGTAAAGAAAAAAATACCTTTACTAACCTTGAAGAAACAATTTCAGACAAAATTAGAATTAATTCCATACACTTTTCCTATTTAAGTTTATTTTTCTCCTTTGTCAACTGTACACAGTTAGCATCCTATCCCACAGAAAACTAATGTACGTGCTTACTTTTAAGACACTAGCAATTTTTAACTTACTGGGACTACTTTATGCATATACAAAAACATTTAGGTGTTTCTACTGGTGGAAACCAAGCTATCTGGATTTCAAATGTTATACCTTTTTGTTCAACTTGGAAGTCTCTGCTTAAAAAACAGCATAGAAGAGAAAGGAAGCTCTCATTTCACATCAGAGTAACAGAGCACATACAGACATCTCTTGCACAGTGTTGCAGTGCGGATGCTCTGATTTGTGTTGCTGCATGCATTTCGTTACAGTATTCTTACCGTCTTTTATGGCCAAATGCATAACCATCTTGATTTTCAAACTAATAGGACTCCATTTGCTTTCAAAATGAGAAAAATGTGAGTATTTCTACAAGATACAGACATAGTGTGAATCTGAGTCGGCATTACAGAGCTGCAAATCCCACATCTGATTTCACAGTTATTCTAGCTGACCTCAATACTGCATAATGCTTTCCCTTTCAACAAACCTCTAAACACTGTCAATAACAAAATAGTTTGTTTCCCCAGCTCTTGCCAATAAAGAAACAAAACCCAAAAGCTACAAACAAAAATCTAGCTCTGAAATTCATGTCATATCTAGAGACTGAACACAGTAATACTAAATATATTTGGTTTTTTCTCTTCAATATAAAGTCAATACAGAGTAGTTTCAGGTAAAAATCTAAAACTTAGTTTCACAATAGGGAACTGGTATTTATGATAATTTAACATGGTGTTAGCACTGTTTTCTTAAATGGAAGTGAGAATATACAGTACAAGATCTCCAAGAGACTGGAGTGTCACCAAGTGACAATGAATCAGCCAAAGTAAGATGAAGGCGTCTCAAAGACAGTAGCGCCTTATCTCCCTGCTTTGTCTTTAGTTTTTCTATTATAAAAACAAACCCAAAATATTTCCATGTATCTTTTAAGAGGGGTATTCTGATTTCCTTCCACCTCTGAACAATATTTGCTGAAGCTGTCTTTAAATGAAATACCAGCTGAAGATCTAAGCCGATTAAGGCTTTTTGAGGTCACTGAGCTAGACGAAAGTAGATCAGTTGCCCAGGGATCACCTCATGTGAACATACCTCAGTACTCCATAAAGAATCTGACAATCCTGCAGCTTCTATCTATTGGAAGTTGTCTTCTATTTGGAAAAAAATAGACACTCCAGATATCAAATTAACAAATTTGTTAAATTAGCCTAGCTGTAACACTTAACTGATCATTGCTTACTGATAAACTCTTGCACCTCAAACTATTCAGAGATGACCTATACTACAGAAGTTATATAATATCTTAAGTTGCAGGCTCCAAGAATAAATCCAAGTCAATCAGCACTGAATACCAATTATTAATCTCTCATATTATTTCCTTCCTAGACCTTAGAACAGAAGGGAAGACGTAAGACATTTGGCTTATGTTTTTCATTGTACATAAGAGTCATTTCACTCCTTTTCAAGACACTAAAGATGCGGAAGGAGTGCAAACTTCTTCATAGCACCAAGTTGTTTCTTCACAGTATAGCTTGAAGTCAAGCAGATATACTAGCTAAGGCAGTGCTACTGCTTCCAGGACAGGTTCATTTGCTTGAGTCTCTGTATCATGCTGTATTTTGCACCAGAGATGTCTCAAATGTCTTAGAATGAACAGGGGGAGAAAATAATCTCAAAGACCTTGGAAAACCAGGGAAGGAGGAATAAATGACTTCTTCCCCATTCCCAGCTAATCTAGATTGTCCCACTGCAGGCCCTCATCAGATCTACTTGCCCTTCTCTCAGCCTCAATAATTCTTAAGCTCCTTATGTATCTATTACAGTCTCTTCCTATGAATTCAACTCCCAAATATGTCCCCCTCCCACCCTATCAGACTCCCCATTTCTTACCTAGCTTCCTATCTTGTCAGAATCCTTCAGTTTATTTCCTCACTTCTCTTTGTCTCACCTGCCGTACCGCTAGATTACACAGCCTTCTTTCCCAGCAGGACAAACTATACCACAGGTAACACAATCTGCTTAGGCTCTAATTCAGTGCCAAGACCCGATGTAGTCCAAAGCAGCTCCAAAAGAAACTTAAGTGCTTTCCAGTTCTTAAGAAAGAACGCTCAAGAAATCAAGATGTTTAATTCTTCTAGCAAAAGCTCAAAACACTATATTCCTTCTAGAAACAGCAAGGCTCTGCTCAAGAAGATTGCCTCCCTCCCATCCTCTAAAACAGCCAAAGCTTTGTGTTAAAAAAAAAAAAAACAACACACAAACACACAACCAAAAAACATACCAAAACCCATCCACACCACAGAAAAGCCACGACAAAAAACCCACAGCCTCCCTAAAGAGCTTTTGTTTTAGCCAATCGTTTATCTCTCAGCAACCCAGGGCACGAAACACACGGACAAAGCCTGCAGAGGAGTTTCAGAAGACTGCCTACTCTATACATTTATTGCCCTCTTCTGAAGCTGACAACTGAAATGAAACAATTATACTTTTGTAATCATTTTGACAAGCCAGACTGCAAAAAACAGAGTAGTCCCTTTGCTGGACATTGCCTTCTTCAATGTTTTCAGTTACTATTCTCTTCCCCGGGAAACATGAAATGCTCTTCATATATAACAAAGTTATCTTTGGAAATTCTTGCTCTTTCTTGTATTTTTGACCCCTCCATTGCTGATCCCAGAGTAGCAAACTATTCTATTTTGGAATTGACAGAACCTCTTTTCTATACCCCTTAATCTTTACTTTGGTGGGGGAGAAAGGAACTTAAAGACATAGCAATTTACTGTAATTCCAAACAGTAAACTTCTGTAATTGGTCAACAAGATACAGCTATTGTCAGGTAACATACAACCTCCACTACTAATAGGTTTAAGATTCCGAAAAATTCAAGCCACTTTAGTATTGAAAGCTCTTATGTGAAAGAAATACTCCTGCCAAAGTTGAACCACTGAGAATTTGATCTGAAAGGGAGAATCAGGTTTTTTTTCTAGAGTCCACTAAAATGCTGCATAGTAATCCCCAGAAGAAAGGGAAATATTGCAAGGAAGTATTTCACTTCTTCCTTCCCCAAAATGATAAGGAGACAGAATAATGTATTGAGACAGTTTCTGTGCTCAGAATAATAGAGTTTGCTTCAAAGAACTTCTTGTAGCAATTTTCCAATAGCTTAACCTTCTGTAAATAGAAAAGACCAATGTAATTATTTCAAACTGGGAGAAAGTTCAACTTCGATCATCACTCCTGTATTTTATATAGAATTTGGAGATTAAAACACACTCACATGTTTAAAATAACTGATTTTTTACTGCATTGTACCACATATCTTTTATAATTAGCTGGAAAAAATATGGATATCAATAGCTCAGTAAAACTCTTGGGCTTTGAAGAGCTATCGATGACCACGTCAATGTTAAATTCTCTGCCAATGAAAGCTATCACTGATTTGATAACTTTTTTTAAAATGTGTTCGATGGTTTAAGATTTCATAGTCAAACTGGTCTTTACATACAAATCTACTATCCCAACAGTTTATACTGTATCTGGCTCCCGTACAAGCTATGAGAAGAGAGACAATCTGATCTTCCTTTGCTGAGAGCTGTAGAATCTGATGAATTTGATATAGACAAGGTAAGTCTACATTTACAAATGTATTGGCTGACAGTGAACACTACTTGTAAAATGCTGAGTCCCCTAAAAAAAAAGAGAATATTAACCTTCTTGCAGTTGCCTTTCATTGCCAGTGTTTGCGTAAGAATAGTGTGAGCTATTTTCATTCATAAAGCACAAGGGCATTTCATTGTTCACACCATGAAAAAAATTTGAAAGTCTCTTTATTAGATAAGCATGATAGCTAAAACTCTGATTCAAGTCTCAATATGACCTTAGTACAGAGAATAAAGACAGATTGATAGAAATTATCTATGATTCATTGAAAACAGAAAGGCAAAGCAATTTAATAACTTGAACATCGGTGCTTCTTCTGTAAAATAGAGAAAATATAACAGCATAAAACCCCCTTCATTCATGTAAGTCTAGCTGGTTAGGTACTAGGTAATTTAAAAGATTTGAATGACTTCCAAATAGTAAAACACAATACATGATGATGAAAAGTTTTAATTGCTAAATCACAAACATGCTAAGAACTATTTTCAAAGCCTGACAGTTTGCAAGACTGGGAGTCTTACTTAAAACTTAAATCAATCTAAATGGCTTTATTACTCCAACACAGAGCAATTCCACCAGAAGTAAAAAATATTTTTTCTGGAGATCAGTCATTTTGATACAATGTCTGTATCAGACATGAAACCCTTTTCTGGGAAGGCAGTCTGAAAAATTTATGTTCAGCAAATTCTAAAACACAAAAGTTAGGCCTACTTCTAATGTTGACATACCTAAACGGAAGATATGGTGGATGAGATCCAGACAAAAGTGTTCTGTAAGCTTCTTCTGGTGTTTTCTTCAAGTATATTACCTAGAAGGGATGGAGAGAAAAAAAAAGAAAAAAAAAAATCAGCCCTGAGCCTGAAAAGTCATTAGCCACATGTAAACTTCCCCCAGCCCACTAAACTCCTAAGAATGCATACTATACTCCTTTATGATCGACTCCTATGACATTTATAGGTCAGAAAAGACATACCTACACAAAGTAAAAGATTCAGAAATCAACAGAAACTGGGATTTCTCTTTTGTGTCATTCCCCTCTTTTTTTTTTTTTAAAAAAAATCACATATTGCTGCAACTGAGAGACTTTAAGACAGAGTCAACATCATACTAAGATGATAAACAGGCATGTGTACTATGAGCTCTCTGTCCAACTTCAAATGACTCAAAATATTATCACAGCAGCTGACAAAGGAAGTATTTCTCCATCACAGCTCAATAGAAGATTTTCCAACACAAGTATTTTTTGATTCCTAACTGTCAATATCAAACTACTAATTAACAAAAATATCCAATTCAACAAGCTGAATCTGCTTCTATGAAACCAGCGTACAGTTAATGTAACACCCTAAGCCAAGGTTCATTCTGCTATCACTGAACACAATTAGCTGCACTGGCGTAAGTAAGAAATTAGAAAACAATCACATCTTATTGCATTTCAATTCCTATTTGTACAGTAAAACTTGTCCTAAAAGAAATCTAACTTGGAATACCTATTAAGCAAGTGCATTATTTACAAAAAAAGATCTCATCCAGTTTGGAGTGGCTATTTCAAGAGCACAAACATGTTTTGTAAACAAAGCCACATAACTTTCAGAGCCATTTCCCCTCAACTCACCTTACAACCAACATCTACATGGCTAGTTTTTACCTCTACGTCTATTTAACTGTTGAATATAAAGTATTCTAATAATTATTTTCTTAACTAAGACATAGGTTAGTCCCTGATCTAAAAGTTTTATTCAACTTTTGACCTTGAGCACATTAGAATGTAGGTAGGTGGTAGTCACTCCTAGAATATCTCCAGTTTCCTTTATGCCTAGACTAATATCTCAAGTTAATGGGATTCTTAGTATTCTGTAAGATGTCAACATAGTAGGTAGATTTTCTTGCATTTCTTCCTCAAGCATGGACAAGTCAGACAGAAAAGACAAGATAAAACAAAAAAACCAAAAAATGGACTCAAGTAAAATGGTCTGAAAAAGTCTTTGCCACGATGCAATGAAAAGATGGTCCAGAATCATCTCTGTTTTTCAACTACTACCAGCTTGGAACCACCAGTCTCATTTTGGACCAAAATGCTCTACACAAGCTGATTTGTCTTCAAAAGATGGATTCCCTGACATGGAGTTGTATTTCAGTCTGTCTCCAACATTGCTGCTCCACTCACCACAGTCACAGTGATAGCATGGATCAGTATAATCAGTACCCAAAAAGAGGAACAAACCCCACTTATCTTCAAATGTTATATCTCAATTACTGCAGCAGTGTCGATATTGCTGTTTCATTTAGCAAAAGTGCCCAAGTGACATGTTTCTCAAAACTAATGTCCCTGTATTTGCCCGAACTTCCATATTCCCCCCTCCTTAATCTCTGAAAGCAATGCATCATTTCCACCACCAAAACAGACCACAAATTCTATATGAAAACCATTCAATTTATTCTGTGTTATCAGAACAATTGTTTTTAATGCAATTATTGGAGTCTTTGTTGCTGGGGTCAAACCAGTGTTTAATAATATTGGAACAGATTGAGAAATTCACTTAATGGAAATATATGTATTTACTTAATTCAAAAAGTAGAGTGGCCCATTTCTTCTTATTTTTAAGCTGTAACCGTCTGTCTACAGCAATTATTGCTGACTAATGGCACCTGCTTCATGCTTTCAATCCCTGCAGTATAGCAATGCTATTCTGCTTTCAGTCATTTGTAAAAAGATTCTTTTAGTCTGTGAAAGAAGTCTTTATATTTCCTTTATAGTCCCCCTCCCCACAAAGGTTTTACATTTAAGAACAATGCAACCTGTGCAACAGATTTCAGTGGGGGGTGTATGTCAGAGAAAAATACTGATTTTATTCATGCCAATTAATGTCAATAATCATGTCAATTAGCCCACACTTAAAGCCTAAATTCCTGCTTATAGTCAAAAGATCCTTAGAGGGTAGTCCAGAGGACTTCAGGGAAAGATGAGTTTCCATCTTACAGTTAGGGAGTCAGAAATCTGAAGTAGGGGCAAGTTTGCACTACATGAATGTTTTCCCAATGCTGCAGTTTTTATTTCACAGAAGTTATGGTGCTTCAAAGCTGTCTCTGCCCAAAGACATGTATACACGACATTTTGAACCAAACACTGCTAGCTGTCTGTCCACAAAGCTCGTAAAAGCTCCTAATAAAGATAACCAAATGGAAATAGGAAAAAGATATTATGAACACAAAAAGGAGGAGGAAAGGGAAAGAAACACTGAATAGAGCTCCTGAAAAAATACAAGTATCACAGATGTCAAGAATAACACAATAACTGAAGGAGGAAGGATACATCTCTTCAGTACTTAAAAAGCAGTGATATCCATTAAGAAAAACAGAGGAGACTGCTTTCTGACTTGTCTTTATCAATGAAAGCTCAGCAACCAAAACTTAGGTTCATTTTTTGATCTATATGATGAATCTTCACAGTGCTTTCATTCTGCAACATATACAAATAAAAAAGAAACCAACACAAAGAGCCTGTTGTGAATAGTTTGTATAAGCTGAACCTGTATCTAAGTAGCAATGTGAGTAAAAGGCTTAAAAAATCAAGTCACTTTCCAGATAGTAACTATGCTCTTACAAGAGTTGTTTTACAAGGGATAAGATTCTCCTCCCTTTCCTCACTGTCACTACTAACACTTATATTATGTAGCACTGCTACCTGTGAAAAACAGATTCAGCAAACATTGAAAATTTTCAAATTTTTTTCTCTGACACTTCCATTCTTATGTTCTTAACTTCCTGAATAATGACGTGGTTGAAAGATAAGGCTCTCCACAGTTGGGACACTATGCAGGCACACAGCATGTAGCAATACTGGCCACATATACACTGCCAAGAAAATCCATACCATATGTCCTAAAAAGTTTACAGAACAAAAACGGAATTAGTATTTTGCAAGTCCACCTTAACACTCATCCACAATATTTCAAGTACAAGTTGGATTCATCTTGTTCTCACCTGCACCTGCCATTTTTGCTAAGTTACCACAAGAATTCTGTGAAGCCAATCTAAAGCAATCTGAAGAAAAGCGTTGCCTGAAACAGCAAAGAGGCTGTACACGCTGCAGTAACTGAAAAGCCTTTGTACTTGCTGACCCTCCAAGGGAGTTATTACAGACTTGAGGAGTAGTGTGATATGCTTAGATTACAAAAGAACAAACCCTTAAAGCTTCAGGTAGGGCTCAGAAGTCTAATTTATATTTTTTAATTAGTGAGAAACTCTCCTGCAAGCAAATGACTAAACATGCCATAATAGTTTTTTATTACCCAGTCATTTGCTGTGATAAAATTACAAACTTAAGAACTCAACAGCTTTTCTCCCTTATTGGCATTACAGAATTCTAATAAAAGCTATTACTACCAAAACACACTCTTAAAGTAATTGTGAGAAAGAAATATGACCAGCCCATCTGCTGTCTACAAGAAAACAGAAAAAGAGCTCACTGGATCTCTCTTCAGAGTTTGTCACAGTACGAAAGCATGATGTTTCACCAGGATGGCTCAAAAGTCAGATTTTGGTCCACTAATCAAGTTTTGATCTTTGAAGAATTGTAAAAGATAATTACTACTTGTCTTCCACAAGGGTAGAATTAAAGCTCTAGGTTTACCAGGCGGAGCGTGTCATACATATATGTTCTTTCTTCCCCCTGCCCCATTTCTCTAGAAGTACAAGAACAGTCACTGGTACAAACAGCCTAGTATTCTTCCCGCCCTTCTCCCCCAGGGAATTCAAACCTTACTAGATAGCAGAGTACAGAACCAGGTAGGAGTTCCTTGATTTCCAACCAGAAAAGAAACATAACAAATACCTTAAGAACATGGAAAGAGGGAGCCAGTCCCCAATTCATCTATATGTTAGACAGGAGAAAATGCACTCTCCTTCACAATTTCTCCAAGAATGAATTCTTTGATGACAAGTGGGGAGTTCATGTAATCACTTCAGTATAATTCAGTTAAACCTACTCCCCTCTTCCCCTCAGAAACTACTAGGGACAAATTGAGTCAAACCAAGATACTTCAGTTTTGGTATGCATGAAAGTACTTGTAATAATATCTTAGAACAATTATTAAAGACTTTTTTTTTTAAAAAAATTAACTATTGTGGAAGACTACATAAAAAAATCTTAACAATTAAAATAAGTCTCCAAACAGATGAAGGGAGAAGCAAAGCAATACTAGCTTCAAAGTGTTCTCTGTGGTGCCTGGTAAGACTTTGCAAAATGTAGTAGCACCCTGTTCCTAATATTACTGAACAGTCTCTTGTTGTAGTCTTACCATTTAGAAGGGACCCTGAACTTCTCTGTAAGATCAGAGAAGTCTGCATGTTCTTCTGTTTTAGTAATACTTTAAATATTTTTTTTTCTTAATCTGAATTCTATGACAGAAGTACTCTCTGCAGAATTTTTAAAAGCAAGGACAATAATTTAGCAATTGGACATGATTAGCCCAAATGTATTAAAAGTCCATTGTAAAAACGGAAATTTTGAAAACGCATCTCCTGAGATGCAATTTACAAACAGGCAAGCTATTGCCAATAAAGTTTTAAGACTTAACTTTTGCTTAAATTTATGACACTTAATAAATATTTTAATAGCTATAGGGTATTTCAGGACAACGTGTCTAAGAACCTGTTTAACGGAACAATCTAAGTTGCATAATCACCACTGGAAACCCATTCCTAGAACCTGATCCACTGTTTTCCACGTTTCATTTTACACTTAATATTTTAACACCAGGACAAATAAAACAAGCTTTCACAATTAACTTTCACACACTGGTAGAGTTCATAGCTGTAAGACTTTCTGGTCTCAAAAAGCTTGTATAATCAAAGAAAAGATAAAATCTAGAAGACCTTAAAGCAAAACAGTACATATATTTCTGTCACAATTTAATATTCAAATTGTGATAGATCAAATTGCCAATTACAGACAGTTCTTTTACTGAAGAACATGATTAGATTCCTTCAGGTCAGGAATCACCCTATCACATAACCCAAGAGTATACACCTACTGCATCTGACTGAACGTAACATTTAAAACACAGGTAAAACACCACAAAAATGCAGATATTTCCTGAGTGTGAAGGAATATGCCTGGATTACAAAAGCTAGGCTTCTGCAGTTAAAAAAACAAAAATCAGATCATTAGGTAGATCATAAATAACTTTTTAGAATAAATAAATATTTATTTTATCAATTTACTGGCAGTAGTATCGAACATTATAGAAGGTGGTGAATGAACTCCCATAACACTTGCAAGTTTAGGAATATACATCTACAGAAATAATTCTGGGATGACATACTTATGTAACATATTGGATACCATTGTGCAAACTGTTTTCCAATGCTATACTAAATTGAGATGAATTGGAAAGTGACTATAAGGTGTTTTCAACAAGAGAATGAATACTTTTTTGTACTGGTAGCACTGTATTAGTAAAGAATTATTTTTAGTACATACTGTCCTCAATAATCAGAAGATACTTAAAACATATACTAGTCTGACAGGAGAGTAAGTGTGTCAAATGCAGATGTAAATCACTTGCATCTGCTAGCAAATAAGAGCTATAAGCAGCTTAAAACAGGCTAGGCAAGGGTTAAATGTGCATGCAGTTGTGGTACACTAATTTACCTTATTGTACATATAAGCTACCAACTCTTTATGTGATATGCCACCTGCTACCCATTATGGAGTACGTACACAGTCACGCCATGGTACACATACTATGTGCTCTCCCTCTCGACTTTCTTTAGGGGGATTTCTGCTGTCCTCCCCCTGCAGTGCATGCCCCTATCCCTAGCTTTAGCTGCTGAGCAGCTCCTTCAAATAAGGACTACCAAATATACCAGACTGTTCCCATGTTTAGGTCTTAAATACTGTAAATATGGCATAGTCCTACTCGGCTGATCAGTCCTCTGCTTGGAGTTCTGTCTTGCACCTTACGTACCTCCTTACCTTTCTGTTCCTACATCCTGGCTTTGCAAGAAGTTCTCTTCAGGGACAGCAGCACTCTCTCCTTGGGTCTAGCTAATACTGATAAGGGCCTTTTAACCCCTTATCCACAGAGAATAGCTACTTAGTTGAGATAGTCATATAACAAGGACCGAACAAGCGGAATAACAAGATAATCTCATCCCCTTCAAAACACCACCATCCTACCCTTTCCAAGGCTTCTAAGATGTATCGGAAGGTGAAGGGCAATCCAGTGAAGGCAATTAGATGCTGTAATCTACATGAGAAAAAAAAAGATGTTCTCTGGCTACAGAGATGAGTGTTCTCTGGCTACAGGCTTAACTGGATCAGTTTTAAAACATGAAGTGGATATTTCTAAATACAGAATTGAAGATACAATGATGCAAACAGAAAACAAAAAGCAGTCCGAAGGGAATGACTGAAGTTTTACAAACTATAGTGTGGGAATGATTACTGAAGATGCTACAACTTGGACAGATTTTGGATCTGAAGGGACAGTAAAGCTTATAAAGAGATGCTATCAAATTTGGAGGCTCCTTAAACAGAATATAAGACACAGAATTGGAAATTAATCCCAGCATTATTAAATATAGCCTTGTATGGTCAAAAACATTAACAAACTTCAAACATTCTAACTCATTTGTTCTTACTACTCCTTTTACAAAGTTCTTCCATCAGGTCTACTCTGAAGAGTCAAAAATCTAACCCAAGGATTTTTAAAATTTCAACTTAGCCCTGATTTTTTTTTCCTCCTTTAAATTTAAATAGCTCTTCCTTCTCAAGAGCATTTACACACTATCCCCCTACTTGTAGTAAAACATTTGTATAATGTTTGTATAAAGCCTGACTTAAAGACTTCCAGAACTCAGCTGACCATGTGGATGTCAGCTCAGGACCAGCAGCTTGTTAGTTCCAATACTTTATCAGTATAAAACATGCTATCGCAAAGACTCTGAGTTTTCTTCCAGTGTGCTCCAATTCTGGACAGTAGAGCAGGAAGGTGAAATTGAAGTTTGAGCTACTCTGCTATGAAGACACACAAGCGGCTGTGCAAGTGTCAGCCTGGGACTATCAAAACTTAAGTGGTATCATAATAAATTAGGCTTGTGTAACTAAGACAGCCCTGCATATTGCATATTATGTGTAGTATCAGAAGGTTGAAATACCTCATTTTTTCCATTATTCTGGGTAGGCTATGAAAATTAACTGAGAAAAGAAATCCACCCAATAATCACTATGCCTCTGGTCTAGTAACCTTAAGAAATGCTGTGAGAAAAAGCTTTCTTCTCCCCAGTATGAATCTCACTACTGCCATGTGTAGCAATTGATCCTGAGACAGTCAACTTTAGAGGCAAGCTTGTAGTCTGCATTTTTGACATTCAAGAAAATGGTATCTTATGGGAAACATGCACATGATCTGCCAAAGCCACTCCCTGTGTTGTAAAGTAAATGGAGTTAAATGCCAGAGACAGGGATTCCCTAAAATTCATACAGCAGAATTTTCAAAGACAGCTTAGAGAAAAATCAAATTACAATCTGCCTACCTCCCAAAAGGACCATCTCTTGAGATGCTATTTTACACATAGCAGACATCTCTTAAGGAAGGTTACAAGTATCCATGTGATAAATAACACTTACAGCATATGCACCTATTAAAAACGCCGCATTTGCTCGTTTCCGCTGGTCAAAACTGGTATAGTACACTATCTTCTTTCTTGATAGACTGAAATACTGTTAAAAAAAAAGAGACAGCATATTTACTGAGAGAAGAATACACTTTAAAAATTACTTTAAAAAGTCACTTTTCCAAAACTGAAAAGTAAGTCAGAAAAAAATTCTTATAGAGAGATTCTTAAATTAAAAGAGAAAAAAAATTACTGATACCATGAACAATCATCTTATATTACAAATAAGAGTGCAGGGAAACAGCCACTGTATCAGGGCAGACCTCTTAGCTGTGCAAAAATATCCTATAAAATGCAGTTGAATCAAAATGTTCAATGTAAAAAACTGTATTTTTTTCCAAGTTGAAATATTTGAGACAATATCTTATGAACACTGATTAAAAGACATTTAAATTTTGAGACTGAAACACCCTCCTATATGTCAAATCTCTTTAGCACATAATTCTGTGGAGAAGACAAGAGAAAAACTGAAGCAATCAATCTTACAGGCATTTTATAAGTTAAACACCACTCTTCCATCTATACTACCTAAAAATGGAGTGACAGACATCTTTAGAAAGCTTCAACAGCAAGAATTTATTTAGGGGGGGGAAAAAAAAAAAAGATTGCACAAGTGAAAAGCCTGGAAAAAAGGCTAGGCAGAGACAAAACTAGTAACACTTGCAATTCTTCTTTCGTTAGGAAGAAAAGCAGCCTCTGTCAGAATCCCATGGACAAAACTCCCATTGAAAACAAGACCAACAAGTACTAGAAAAGAACAATAATGACAAACTGCAGCAAAACTATTTAAAGCTAGAGAGAGATAAAACTGTCAGTTAAAACTGGCAAGTTGGACAGTTCATTGCATTATTATTTTTTTAGCTTCATGAATTTCTACACTTTCATTCTATTCTGCAACACTATTACACATCTTTTTCCTGACAGATTTCTACAGTACTACTACAGTTTTGAGGAAGTCATCAACAGACATACTAGATTCTGCTTCTAAATGTTTGAAGTGCATTTCTATTTTTAAAAGTTGCACATTTTATAAACTGCCTTTATACCAGTGCTGCTGTTACCCAACTTCAGGTTTTTAACTCCAATTTGACAATTTTAATTTACTTCCTTTTCCTACTCTTGGCACTGATGATGCTTGGGGGTGGGAGATAAGGTCACTGCTGCAGAACTGTGTTTTATTTATTTAAGTAGTGTCAACTGTACGTATTTCACTTCCAGAAATCTGTAAACATCAAATCTCATCTTAAATCTTGTTGCAAATTTTAGGATAGCTTTAACCACAGAATCAAGTTTTGCAAAAAAACAAATAGCTGATAAACTCAGGGGAAAAATGTTGTATGTATCAGTGAGCTTCTTACTTCCACCCCCCATAGAAATAGCACTTTTAATAGCAATTCTAACTGTACATTCCAGTCCGGTCTTATTACCCACAACTCTTCCATAGGTGGAAGGAGTAGAGTTAATGCAACTGAGTGTACCTAAACAGGACTGTAATTCCTGAGAGAGCTGGTTGCTATTGACTGGAAGAGGACAACAGCAACATCTCCCTCAGTGTATATGCAAACATACAAAGCACAAGCAGTTATTTAATTAGTGAAGCATTCAATTATTATTAAAACTTGACAAAATTAATCCCAGTATTTTAAGATCCCTCCTTTCTTCCCCCTCCTCAGTTTCTTAATTTTAGTGTTCTCTAACTGCAATTCCACCCATGATGTGTAGGTGGGATAAGATTAGAGTAGTTATGCAACAGTGACAGAACTTCAGTTATAACTTGTTGACTACTACTTATTTTAAAGTGAAGTTCTTTGCAACAGTTTACAGTTTACCTGAAATACTATTTTAAACTGTTAAAAGCACATTCTGCTAGCTAGCCAGAAGTTCTATGTAGTAAGACCTATTCCTTGTTTTATTTTACAGAATGGATTTTTTTTGTCAACTCAGAATACTTTCAATATCAACACTAAGCTATATGATCTTTTTTTTTTTTTAAAAAAAATATTGATTTTCTGACCATGTTTAATAAGCTGAGTCTATTCCTTTGGCTGGGTTCAATGGTAATTCAATGGTAACAACTGTTAAAGACAGTTCTTTACGGTGACTGCTTTCGCAGCTCCAGAGTTCCACCATTCCCTTAGAGACTGTGCAACTTGGAAGAACCGAGTTGTTTCAACAAGGAATTTTCAATACAGGTTGTCTACAGATAGCTACAATTAGAGATAATGTATTAACATAATTGCAAATAATCTTTTTTCTAAACCAAAACACAAATACTATGAAGCACTACAGATATTTTTCTTTACCAGTAAGAAAATTTTAGCAGTTTCACACATTGTTAGAAGACAAAATGTACCAATATAACAGAACAGTATCTGTCAAGATATATCCCAGAGGAATATACTCAAAGAGAATCTTTTGAACGAAAGGCATAGGTTACATGAAAAGTGCGGCATGTTTTAGTTTCGGTGATAAAACTAATTCATTGGGTGTATGAGAGGGTTCCAGAACACATTATTTTCATGGTTATATTACTTTTTTAAAAAAAATATTAGATCAATTCTTGTTTCCTGAAGACCTCAAGAGAGATTTACTTGCACAGAAATTGATGACAGCCTTAGAAGGTGCTGTTGTGGACAATTACTAGATTGATAACTGTTTAGAATCACCAGATAATTTGGCAGTATTTTATTTAATGGATATGCTTTAACATACTTGCATTGTTCAAGCAAGAAATTACTGTAATGTGTTTAATAAGCCTAGATCAATGAAAATACTATTTTTATATATACACATATATATATGTAATATGTATATACAAATAGCAGTGAATACAAGGCTTGCAAAGTTTTCATAGAAAATGATGCTTTAAAACATGTACACACAACCTGCCTCAAAATCTAAGCTGCCCTAAAGGAGATGCTTGTAGTTACTCTAGTTCCATGTGTATGCCCAGCAGTTTATTTATATTAAAACAAAACCAAACCCCTCTGTGATTCAGCAGCAACACAGTTAGCATACAAGCAATGTTAACCCCGTAGTTCATAAGCCTGCCAGGACCTTTGATCTGTACTTGTATCACTTCTCAGCAACACTCCCTTTCTGACTACCCCTCCTTCTAAATTCATTGCGATTGTCTAAGGCTACACACACATAAAAGCAGCAGCTTTTTAAAGCAGTTTTTATGAAATCAGACTTATTTAAACAGAAGAAAAAAAATGTTTGCTTCATAAATGAATCACAGTTGCTTACTCAACCGTTTTTTCCCAAACAGCATTCAAAGAACAAGTAGGAAGATACCAGGGCCAAGCATTTTTTTCTTGCTGTTGGCTAGTCAAGATCAGCTCCACAGCAATCAAAACATTACAAGGTCAGAAAGGTTTTCCTCTAAAGCATAACCAGGACTGTAGCTCCAACTTCCTCAGCAAATGGATACCTGAATAAATTCTTCAGCTCTTCAGAATAGAACTATTTACTCTTCCTCAAATCAGTCAGCATAAAAATTACAAGAGTTTACTTTAAAATGTTGGTCTGCCATTAGCACATTTCAAGCTGGTACCGTTCTTCCTCACCTGTCCTCCAAGAAAGGAGAAGGGAAAGCAAAAAACTGTCTCCACGTTTAATTCCTCTCCCAGAACAGAAACAGGTATAGCTGAAAGACTTGGAGGGGAAGCTTGTGGGGTTGGTCTGTTTTAATGAGATCTTATACTCTCACTTCTCCTGTTCCTAGAAGTTTTAAACTTAATAAAAGTCTAAGTCTTAAATTCCTTTTCAGACACCACACCCACACAAAAACAATCATGATTTTGTCGAATATTTTTTTTTGTGCCACACTTCTTTTAAAGACTCTTTTTCCTAACAAAAGTACATGAAATGCATATCCAACCAGGTATATACCAAATCATGGCAGTAGTCATCTGGGCTTAAGCACTGTGTTTGCCTCAAGGTCCCAAAAGTGTTGCAACATGGCAACAGCAACCATCCAGCAGCAGAGGCTGGATTGCCAGAGAATGGTCACCTGCAGTGCCTTTTACTTCCTATGATCAGCCAACTCCTGCTGTCGGTCACAGGGCATGGTTACAATTAATGTCAGGGAATGCAAGCAGCAGGTTGTCCAACAGGACTCTTTCTCCATGCTGTTAGACCAGTCAGCAATTCCTATCTCCAAAACACTGATCACAGGCTGCCTGTGTGTCCCCCTGGTGTCACATAAGAATTACCATACTGCTGCTGCTGCAGTTGCTCATTGCATCAATGCCTTGCTGGCAGGTAAGTCACAGGTCATGAACTTCTGTCTTACACACACTTGTTCAAGCCGCTGGAATCCTCTTGGGGACACTTGTGAAGGACAGACATGAGAAGGTGAGGGGCAGAAGGGTAGAAACTGTGAATCTGTAATTCTCAACTAGTGAAGCTGAGTAGTAGTGTTCTGCAGCTAGGCCTACAGTACACATCAGATACATGCTTCAACCCTGGGATTTGGTCTTACAATCCTACTTACACACTGCAGATAGTATCTAAATTAGGACAGAGTCTGGCATATATTTTAACTGTTAGACGAGTAAAGCTTACATTAGCAGGTACTGCCCTACCGCAGGGGTAGGACCCATCAGCCAGACTGGAATCTATTAAGGCACAAGTTTCTATACCACTCAGGTGGTATTCCAAGTTTTAGCGGTTTGATTTCAGGTATTACTTTCAAGAGGTTGAACCATCAGGTTACCCTTCTCTATTATGCACTAGTAGTTTAAATTAACCTATTTGGAATCAGCCTCTGGTAAGGTAGCTGCAAACAGCATCTGCTCCCAGCTGAAACTGCAGCTAATCTGCATGAGATTTCTCTGTCCTGTTCCTGACCATCTGTACTCTTCACCTAGCACTGCGAGCATATTTGCTTTTTTCAAAAAATATAAAAGTTACATTAAAATGACATGACTGTTTGCTAAGTCAACCCTGCAAATGTCCGGGTTACTAATTCAGGTTCAATTTGGCTCCCTTGTGTATTTTTTCCCCTAATATACAACCTTTATACTATCATGATTACAAGTCATTTATGACAAGCAGCTTGCTTCATTCAATACAGACAACAGTCATAACAAGAATAAAGACTGTAGAGACATTCTTGTTTAATACTGAATCATTTAAGAAAAAGAAAAGCCCAAGGTATTTATTAGTTGTGTTCTTATTTTCTGGGTGAAACACTTGGTACCTTTAGTCCAGTTTGAAGGCACTCCAGTTCAACTATAAAAGTATGAAGGTACACTGCAACAGTGAAACACGAGACTGTATTCAGGTCCCAAACTGATCACAGTCTCAATCTGAACCCAGAAAAAACAGAACTAATTGCTCTAGTTTTCATAGGCACAGTGAAAGTTAGAATAGTATGTTTATTATTTGATCTTCTCTGGAGTAACCACTTCAGAGCAAGCATTCTCCCCAGTCTTTAGTAACTCAAACATAAGGTCACAAAAAAAAAAAATAGATTCCTAACAAGTGAGCATCATTGGTCATTTATTTGAATGGGATAGTGGCACTGGTAAATAGGGTGATAAGATAATGTATTTTTAAGCTCTATTTAGTGTTAACACAGAAATGGTACATCCAATGTTTTCCCAATATGAACATAGGCATTCAAAATCAGAAATACCAGAGTTAAGGGTTTTTTTATTTATAACTAACCTTCTGTATTAAGAAGCAATGTAAATTTTAACTAGGAGAACTTTTTTCTAAAAGGCTATAGCAACTCTACAAACACCTCAATTTGCATAACCTCCTCTTAAGACTACCTGGCTTAAAGTCAGCATGCCCCTAGAAGTAGTAGATAGTGTAAATCAACTTGCATAATGGTTTCATTTGCGCAGCAAACATTAGTCCCAAAACAATGTCATTTTTGATACAGGAATCCTCTTAACAGTGGCCAATGTTATCACATCTGTTGTCCCATTTTCAAACCCATAATGTTTAGTGAAGGGTCTCCTTGCTATTTGCACAACTGATATTAATTAGTACTTTGGAATTAAAACATCTGTTTAATTTCCCACAGTTGATAAATTTTCTATACATGCTGCAAACCACTTTTTCCACAGGCATTTGGGGACCAGGTTAAATCTACAGCTATGTACTCAGTGTACTGGGTTTGGCTGGGATGGAGTTTGGTTTTCTCCATAGCAGCCTGCATGATGCAGTGTTTTAGGTTTGTGTCTAAAACTGTGTTGACAACACATCAATGTTTTAGCTACTGCTGAACAGTGCTTGCACAGCACTGAGGCCTTCTGCTTCTCACTTTGCACCCACAGCAAGTACACTGGAGTGGGCAAGATGCTGGAAGGGCACATGGCCAGGACAGCTGACCCAAACTGACCACAGGGTTATTACATAGCATAAAACATCAAGTTCAGCAATAAAACTGAGAAGCAGTCTTTCTAGGTCGCTTGGAGAGTGGGCAGGCACTGGTCTGCTGGTGGGAGGTGCTGAGTGATTGCCTTTGCACCACTTGTTTTGTTTCCCACCTCCATCTCTCTCCACTTCTTATTCCCCCACTTAAAACGTCTTTATCTCAAGCCACAAGTTTTTCTTGGTTCTGCTCTTCTGATTCTCTCCCCTGTCCTACACCGGGGTTGGGGTGGGAGTGAGTGAGCAGCTGCCAGGTGTTTAGTTTCTGGCCAGCATCAACCCATCATCAGGCTTGTGGTTTTATGACAGGACAGTGCTGTTAGAAAATTTTGGTATCTTCTTTGGATACCACAGTAGTAGGTTTTACTTTTGACTGCAAAGTGTTGGTCCTTTCTTTATAAAGTTGTGCAGAATCTGTAAATGCAGCAGTTAATTCTGATGATCAGTGCGACTGAATTTTGTTCCATCTCTAGTGAAGAGCAATTCAAAATTGTCTTGAATCAACAATCATTATATGGATGCAAGAAAATAAGAAAGCTTCTACAAATTAATTGATAGGGAGCAGCACTTCTAAAAGACAGAAAAAGAAATCATTTTTATGTGTAAAAACACATTTCCATAATACTTATTAGAAGAACATTTTATTAAATTGTATAAGATTTAGAAGTTTTAACTCTTCCACTGAGTGAGATTTAGTTTAAATAGTGGGATTTCAGGGCCCATGTTCTGTTCTTGTTCATGGGTGTGGGTTTTTTGGTTGGTTGTTTTTTCAGTTATTCATACTAGCATACCCACTTCATTAGCTGTAAACTCCAGTGTGTTTCTTGTTACTATTGTGTTGAAACTGTAAAGTTATGAAAAAAGGTGAACACAGCCTTCAGTGCCTCATCTGCTAAGCAACAATGACAGCATATTCAATTTTTCCATTCTTCAGAGGGAAAAGAATTCAGAACAAAGAATAACCTTAAGCTTAGTTGTAAACATCTAGGTAATGAACACCCAACCACCACTTTCAAACTGGATAATACATTTCAGTTGAATTTCAAAACAGAAAAATACAGGAACACTGTTTCTAAACAAAGCTTACCTTTAATTTCTTATTTAGTTTACAACAGTATCTGTATAACATCGCCAAATTTAAAGGTCCGAAATCTCCATAGAAACTGGGAGAAAAAGAACAATAAAAAAGTGTTATTTATACAAAAGAGCTAAACAAATTTTAACTATCAATGACATGAACGTTGAAGCTGCAAATCAGTAACTTTTGGCAGATTCCAAGTAGCCAATACATATGGTACAACAGATAAGCCCTTTATTGATTCATTTAAGAGGACAATAGTAACGATGAATTTGAAAGCATTTGTAGCTTCAGTTTAAGATGCTCCAGTAACTACCTTTTCGATTACATACACACATATCCTACAGAATTTTTTCTTCATCCCACAATACCGAGTCTGGTTTTGGGCAAAACTACAAACTGAAGAACTTCAAGACCTAATCCACTCCCCTTTAAGCCGTGCTGATGTCATCCCAGAGAAAGGTTCTACAACTGCTTATGAGAATAGATCATTAGATACTACAAAGAATAAGCTAAATAAATTTTACTACCGACAAGAAATTCCATTTAATAACATCCAGTCTTGATCTCTCTCTGAAATTTAAACTTATTTCTTTTTATCCCATGCTCCACTATTCCAGAGATTACATATTACATATACACTTTACATATAACTATGTTTCCTTTTGTCCCCCTAGTCCTCTTGTCTCCAGGCAGTTCTTCCAATTTATTATTTATTTCATGTCTTCTGATTGTTCTTGCCTCTCTCTTCTAGATTCTTCTTAAATATTCATATTACCTCTGAAGCAGCAATCACTGTCCTTAGGATAAGAGCTAGTAGCAGTAGTCTGTACAGGAAAATTATTGCACGCTAAAAGCTCCTGTTAGGGATTCATGGTGCTTTTCCTAGCTAACGCTTCACAGAGGCACCTTTACAAGTAACAGCAGCCTTTATGCAAGCCACTTATAACGATCCTTTCTAGAGCTTTCTCCTTCCCTATCCATTGTGCAAAATTGCTCAAAATTTAAGTTGCAAGCTTTCTCCAATATTTTTCCTTTTTGTGTACAGAAGTCTTTATCTTGATGTCTATGAAAATTTGTTGATGCACACATTAAATTACAGTGAGAGCAGACTATAACTTAAACTGTTCTAATCTGCTCTGCCTTAAGTCTTTTGATAGAAGAGACAGGATGCTTCTTGCTTATTCACAAACAGTGCATCTGAATGCATGTTATTTGGGGAATGACGAAAGAAAAAAGTAAATATGGTCTATAACTTCTAGGCTTTGAAGGAGTGAAATCATACTGAAATCAGATGATAGAATAGGTGGTAGTACTTATAAACCCTCTGCCCTGGGGAAGAAAGCTTTAATTTTCAGGAAAAGTAATTACATTCCAGTTAAACATAAGAAGAAAACTTTCACTCTGAGGGCAGTCAAATATTGGGAAGAGGTCGCTCAGCAGCTGTGGAGTCACACCCCAATTGTGCAAAGCTCTGAGCAACCTGCTCTTGTTGACCTTGCTTTGAGCCTGGGCCTTGGATTAGACGATCTCCAGAAGTGTCTTCCGGCTTCAGCCATTCTGCTATTTTAAGTGGATGGAACAAAGTAGGAGTACCCTATCTTTTTGGTGCTCATAACTTTATTAATATCCTCCTCCCCACATTCTCTCAAACAAAAAAGCCAAGCCTAGTGCAGAAAGAGACAATTATACTTGTCCTAGACAGTGATCAGACTAATAGCCTGCCTGCACACCAATGCCATTTCAATAGCATCTACTTTATAGTATCAAGTGATATTGTTAAGTGCTTGTTAAGATTCAGTTCAACACTTCAGTAGAAAATATTATGAAATAATGCCTAATTACAGAAGGTCATTAGCTGGGTCAAAGACTAAGCTGTCCAACTATTAGGACTTTATTTCTAGATCGCACAGAAGTTAACTCAAACGAAAATTGCAGTGGCATTAAAGCAGGGTTTAACTTGAGGAATTCCTCATCTTTTCTTAGATAATTCTGCCAGATATGGTCAACAGTTAGTTATTTTTAAAACAAACTCCCCCATACAGTTTTTAATAGAGATTAAATTTAAAAAATTGTTCTAAGAAGGACAAGTATGAGTTATGACACACAAGTTAAAACTGAAGCTCTAACAACGCTAGAGTGAATGTAGCTTCTAGAAAAGCTATACAGAATGCTTACTAACATGTCTTCCCATTCTGCCGTACTAACAACTTCTCTAAATCCAAAAGCCAACTCTATCCTGTGCCATTAACTGTACAGTATTCTTTCACTTAAATATATGACGGAAGAGTAGAATTTAGGATTTTAAGATTTTGTGAAAAATATTTTTTAAAGTATTGTTAAAAAGTATGGAATATGATAGTTACTAGAATACAGAATACTTTTTTTTTTTAAACCAGTGTGAGCAAAGTAGCTTTGCTCAGCTCAAAGATATAACTGAATACACAGTTCATCTAAAGCACTGAAGAACTACAGCTGTGCTTTAGGATAGTAAGTTTTTATTACCGTTCATTTGCTAGAAGTACATCAATATGAAGTCATGTATCCAATTCTACTTTTCACATGAATAAACTCAAACAGAAGTGTAGGAAGAGCACATTAAAATGAATCCACAACAGACAAATTACTTACTATTTTGGTGGGGATACGGATAAATACATTTATTGACTCTATCCATGAAGTAATTGTATTTCTACAAAATAAAGCTATTCAGATTCTCCCGGCCACCAAGCTAATGATGTCACAATCTTTGACTGACTATTTCTCCATCACTTATTACCATTAAGTATGCTGTGCCTCTCTTAACACGGGGCGGGGG